TTTGAGTTCTCTGAGACATCCTTAAGCAACATGTTTAGGTCTCCTTCTTTATTTGCTAACTTTTTCTTCTTAAATATAAACAGCTCAGGCTCAGGTACTTGTACCCAATTTTGGAAATACCAAAGTTTCTTACCAGTTTTCAGAGAATAGCCTGAAGTACACCATTGTGCATAGCTGGGGTAGCTTATGCCTCTAACAAGTAATTCTGTAATTGAGAACAATCATGTTGGGCTTCTGATCCTTTCTCCCACTCCAGCTCACTCAGAAACACCTTCTGAAAGAAAACTCCTTGGCAGAATCCCTTTGACCATTTAAAAAGCTGCCTTGTATTCCTTACCTGTCCCCTGAGCCAGCTATTCTGCACATGACAAGGTTAGGAGCAGAGCCAATACTAATACCTTCCCTTTCTTGAGGCATACCAGCTATATTACTGAATTAAGGGACATCCTATGTTTTCCTCCAAGACTGTAGGCATGCAATTTCCAGCTATTTCTCTGAACCCTCCAGTCCTCATATGTTAATATGCTCTGGCTTTTGCTTCAAGTTATTAGGAAGAAATCTTCTTGAGCCTAAATTTTATTTCTTTGCTTCCTCTGAGTGATTTTGGGTCAAGTTATAATTTTCTCTTACTGTCTCTAGGCTTGTGTAGAGAAGACCAAAATTATTTTAATTTTTGTCATTTCCTGCCCCCTCCCCCAGCTCAATGGAATGGTTTTGTTAGTGTGCAATGCTTGTATGCTCAGCCCTCTGCTAACTATCTTAAGAGTTGCTTTTTCCTTGCTAAACTAGAAGTGGATCAAAGTATCATGCAAATTCTGGATGGTAGAGAAAGCATAGGCAGAAGCTGCCTGACACAGAGTTCCTCCAGAAATAGCATCTCTCTGCCACATCAGAGGTGTTGTGGCCAGGCAAAGAAAACTGGAAGAGACCAGTACCTTGGCCCTGTCTTCCCGTGCTCCACCGGGGAAATCTGATTTCCAAGCTTTCTTTGCTTTCACAGTATTAGAAATGTCTGTTATACAGACAGAAATTATGTTATAAAATGAATATAGATGCTGTTATGCAAAAAGATCAGGCCCAAGGCTCTTAGGTAACTGGGAGCCCAGAGACTGGATTTGGGATGATCCAAGGCCTGCCCCTGCAGAGAAACTGTATGCAAAACAGCAGCACAGCTTCTCACTGTGAGGTCATCTAAGGCTTCTTGTACACTCTCCCAGTTTTATGGTGGAATCTTTTGTGACAGGGTTCAGCCCTACCTTCCTTCTGTTCATTTTTTTAAAGTACTTTTGCAGTAGTCTGTTCTCTGAAGTGCCATTCTCTTTCCTTTGAATTGACTGAGAATCTGGGTTAAAGTGACTGACTGATGTGACAATAAATGAGCGAATGTCATCAGGTCCAAATGATTTGATATGCTGTTGGTTATAAAATGTACTCAGACAGGCCAGGTTCTGTACAGATTAATATTTGATGTCATGGAACCTGACTGGCTGTAACTGAAAGAACTGGGGCCATGGTTGGGAAAATGGCCATCTCCCTTTCAGGGGAAAGTTAGGACTCATAGGAGCTGACAACCTGACAGTCTGATCTTCCATTTACCCATAAGCACCAGTCAGAGTAAGCAGTGACAATGCAAATTTCCCCACATTTAATTCACTGATAGGTCAAATTCTCTTTGTAACCCCTAAGTATTGTGCATACTTTCTATTATCAGCCAGAACTTTCCTTCTTCCAACAGTTTCGAGAGTATCTGCATGGTTCCCCTTAACAGTAGCTACTCCCTCTTTCTCCCTTCTCCCTCCTCTCTCCTAGCAATCCCTACTCTCTCCCGGTGCCTGTGGCAGCAGCAGTAGCCTGCTTTCTCTGGGTGAGACACCACCATCTGTACCCTCCTGCCTCAGGCTCCTCTGCTCATTCATTAGTGCAGGCACTGTTTAGTCACAGTCACAGCGACAGCAGCCCATAGAGCAGCTGAAGGGAAGCTGGAAGGGTGCATGCCCACTTGGTGTAAAGGCCCCAAAGCAGGCTCTGTGGAGAAGATCCCAAGCCAATATCCACTCTCAGCACCTGCCTTTCAACACCAGGAGGATTCTGTCCTGCTGCCTTGCAGCACTGTGCTGGTCAGCACATACTGGAGTGCAGGGCAGGTCACACAGGACAACTGAACTTTCTCCAAGTAACAGTCATGCATTTGCCACCATTATTTGTTAAGAGTCATAAAAGCAGCACCTAGGATGCAGGTGTGTAACTCTTGGCCCTATCTGTGTATGCATGAGGCCCCCCTACATAGTCCATGCAACTGCTTAGTAGTCCAATATGCTCAGAAATCCTAAACTCTCTCACCTAAGGAGAAAACAATTTCGTGCTGCATCATCAAGGCTTTCCCAAAATGGCCCTGTTTTGTTTTTCTGCAGATCCTTATCCAAAATCTCTCTCAGCTAATGAGGACCATGTGCCAGTCACGCTTCATTTTAAATGGGTTGGAGGGGGCAAAGGAAGTTGGTGTTGGGACATATAGATATTAAAAAAAATAAATAAAACTTGGCATTGTAAATGGAAATCAATGGACTGCAAAATTGTGTTTCTTCTAGTTGGATAGAGTACTTGCCAAGTTCCAAGCTGTTTGTTCCTTTCCGAGGAGAGACGGGGTCTGCTCCATTTGTACTGTAAATGCAAAGCTGTTGTGAAGTGAGATTTGAATGTTTCCACCTTCAAAACAGTTTATGCATACAAGAAAAAATTAATCTCACAACATCCCATGAGACACAAATCTTAGCCCTTATTTAAAGAGGGAATGAAGGGAGAGTGGGTGTTTTTTCTGAAGCCTGTTAGAAGTGAAATGCTTGGTTTCTGGTGTTACACTGAGAAATTCTGACTATGTCCCTCTTAAAATTCTTTCAGTATCTACAAACTGCAGGCAACATAGTATCTGAACAGTAATAATTCATGATAAAGCACTGTAGTGGCTAGCAGGCACACCACTGCCCTCTAACTCTGTGTGACCTTGGCTAGCTGTAACTTTCAGCTCAGGATACCTGAAGGTGTCATGGGGACAATGTTGCTTCTCATCTGCACTACACTCAACTGCCGCTTTTCTGAAAATCTGATTCTTGATCTTTTACAGATCTTAAGAAAGCTATATATGACTTAAAACTCTGCTTAACTAAAATATTTATACATTACGTCACGGAATACACAAAAATATTCCTGTTATGAACAGCCCATTATCACCAACATATCTGTGACATGTTTTTTGACTTTCTCCCTATTCTGTTAATAATGACGGTTATTTATATTAGGCACAGAAACAAATAGCATTTCTTATGCTAACTCATTGACTCTAAATGCATGTAATTACCATGTAACACCTACATTGTTCTAAAGAATTTTATTAGACTGACTTGCATCGGTCTAAATCCCTCCAAAACTGTTTTCCCAGGATTTTCGATGTACAGTCCTGAGAACTGAAGATTTCATTTAATTTCCAAAGATTATGGTGTTTTAAATTCATTATCTTGAGGATGGGAAGCTAATCAAATGAACCTCACAAGGCTGAAGGAAGTTGTTTCCCGACTTGAGAGGGTAGAACTGGGTAGGAAGTTTGGCAACCAAAGTAAGACCTGACAACAGGGTGAAATGAAAACTAAAAAGAGAAGACAGATGTTATGATTACATCTTTTTCTTAAAAGTCTGAGCAGGTGATGCTGGAGATTAGAACAAGGCAGCGAAAGATTATTAGGACAAAGAACCTGGAATTTGCAACTTTTAGCACCATGGCTGGTGCTCTGCAGGAGAAGCCTGTTCATGCTTCTCCTGCAGAGAATCAGGACCAATCAGGACTGTTCTACCAAGGAGTTGTGTCTTCTATAAATGTTCTCAAAAAATTTTAACTGTATGGAGTATGCTACGCAAAGCACTTATCAAAAATTAGATACCAAATCTGTCCTTGCTATTAAATAGAATCATTTGGATTACTGCAAATATTTTAAAAAAGCATTCATTATGAATGTGAATTTGCATCCCTTCAATTGTAGAAATGATCAGAAGAATATCTCATTTAAAATTAGCATTCTTTAAGACTTAAATATTGAATTGATTGGAGAATAATAGCTTATCCAACTCTTTACTGCCTTTAACTCTACTTGAAATAAGAACTTTTTCTTAAGAAATATGTAAACCATTATTATTTTCAGCCCATATCAGTTATGCAGCCCCGATCATTTTGGGGTGAGAGTTATTTTGGGATGGTTCCATTGGGATGAGAATGCTGATGGAGTTGGTAATTTGTTATATCAATGCTCTTGATTAACACCGAATGCACAAAGCTCTTTGTCCTTGAACTTTTAAAACCAAGGCCAAATCAGAAAGAAGAGGTTTTGTTTGCAATTCTATATGTCTTTCTTGAAAGCACTGTGCCCAAAATCCCTCCCTCAGATTTTGTTTGGGGTCACACTGCTGAGACCTCCTCCAGCTACACCTGAGCCTGCTAGGCTCTCTTCTATTTTTGCCCCTCCTCTACCCTCCAAGGAAATTACTCCCTTCAAGCTGATCTCTGCCTGAATGGGTAGATTAGTCCCTAGCAAAACCACCCTGCTGCTGGGTTCACATTCCTGAAGAGCCTGACAAGGAGCCTGCCCAGGTCCAATTGTTTCAGTGACCTGTTAAGACAAAGAATGGTTAACACCCTAAACTCAATCATCTCTGTTGTCAATGCTGTACCTCCACTACTGCCACTTCCCCGGACTGTAGCAAGAGACCTCCAGTATCACCCAGCCCAGCACCAGGGCTTCTCCATATTTTATACAGCCCTTTGGCATTTCCAGACATAGCTTCTTGGAACAATAAGTATTAGGCTGTGGGAACTATTTAGGGCTTAGCTTTGCTGCTCCTTCTATGACTGTGACTTTGAACTAATGTTGTTTGTGATGGCTTTTTGTCTATCTGCAATTCTTGGTATTCTCAGCTAGAAATTGCCCCAGAAATGTTGTTTAACAGGAACCTACCTAAGGCTCCTGGGTGCCATTGTGCATAGATGCCACCTTCCGTGAAGTCTGGTGCTCCTCAACACTGCCACCCTTGCACCCTGCTGTCCAGGACAAAGCTTTCAACTGACCTATGGACAAATAAAGGAATTAATTTTCTTCTTCAGAGGCTACGTAGAGGGAAATATGTGTTATTATGGTAAAGGAAAAGGCTATTTGCAATGAATGGATAAGCTCTGTCTGTCAGCATAAAACATTCATAGAATAGGTGTTGAAGCCAAGGCAGATTATTCCTAGGGGGCCATAGTCCTTTATTCAGTGGGGTTTTTACCCAGTTTCTAGTCTGTTCACAAAATAACTTCCCTTATATTTCACAGGAAATGTGGTGAATGGCAGATGACAGGCCAGTCACTTGACTGATGCCAGCTGACGTCTGTACATTAAGCCAAACCAACCTATCTTTGGCCCTAGCAGAAGTAAGTCAGCCATATGTACACAATATATATGCACATAGAAAGCAGCAAAAAAACCCCCACAACCAAACCTGGGCCAAACCACTCCAAAGATTATAAGTAACTAAGCAGAACAAAGCTCTATCCCTAAATGCTAAAGATCAACATAAGGGCTTTTTTATGGCTGATAACATACTATGCCCAAAGTTAAGGGCTTTTTATAGCTGAACAAAACCTGACAATCAGTTTTTATGTAGCATATCTCATAAAAAAATGGGAAAGTGCTCTGCTAAGGTCAATATTGTTATCTCTGTTCCTCGGAAAGCTGAGCAGCAGAGTGGAGGTAAAGGAGCCTTACTTAGAAGGCTATAAGGAGTCCAAAAGTCTTCTCCATCCAAAAGTCAGAAGTATGAAAGGGCCAACTGTGCTTTACTTAGGTGGTTACATACACGCTACCCCATTTGCAGTAGGAATGTTTCCCAAACACTGCAAACATTAATACAGCTCCACCGACTGCACTGGGAATGCCTGTGGCAGCCAGGGCCACCCCTAGGCCGGGGACAGGCAGACAAATGAGTTGCTGCACAGTCAGCTGGAGTATGAAATTACAGCACTTCAGCTGCTTTGTGGGAGCGGTTGTGCGCGTGGCCGGCTGCCACTGCCATGGTGAGGCCACTCCCCTTCAGTGAAGTCCTGTCACCCACTCTGGCACGGGAGGATGGAGCAGGGAAAAGGACAGGCTAGGAAGAAAGCCAGGAGGGGGCATTTACTCAGTCCATTGCTGCTCTGCTACCCCAGCCACTGTGTCCTTCCTATGCTTCTGGAACTCAGGTGCACCTGGAGCTGGGGCCCTGCAGCAGCAGTGTCCAGGGCAGATGCAGAACAGTGTTTGCAGCTGCCCAGGGTCACTCCTTGCCCTCCAGGGCAGCCGTAGGGACATGCTCCTGACTGTGCTGGAAGCAAGTAAATGACACAGCCACATTTACGGTTGGATTTGACATGAAACATGCCACTGGCCTGGCCCCCTGGTCTCCTGCACATTGCCAGGGAGTGGAAAGAAAACCTCTTGCCACAGAGTTCAGAGTTCTTCACCAGGGAGAGAGGACTGGATCACTCTCTCCTACATATGCAGGAAAAAAAGCCCCTCTCAGGATAACTTATTAACCCAAATTACCTCCCATTCTTATCTCATTATGCTAGTAAATCACACTGACAAGCTTTTGGCAAGACTTTCAGAGCTCTGCAAAGGTCCTCCACATGAATTTTCAGACTCAGTTGAACCTCCCAGTGCCCATTCCTTTTCTTGACAGAGCAGCCTCAGCAAGGGAAGCTGTGGTGCAAGGCTCACCTCTTCTGTCAGGCTGCTCCATTTGCCTCTGTTTACCCTGAATGAAACATGATCTTCAGCTTCCACATTTAAATCCCAGCAACATCCTCTGCAGCCTGTTGGTCAGTCTGCCTTTCAGCTCAGAGTGGGAAAAAGCTAGAAGCAGTCAGTCTGCCAGTAAAGATCTATGTAACAGACTGTGCATCTATATGTTATCAAGGAGATGTCATGGGATTCATCTGAGGGTTTTGCTGGTTGGGTTTCTTCTGCATCACACATTTGTACAGAAATTAGGTTCTGACAAAATACAGTATCCAAAGTTTTCCAAAGCATAAGTGGAACATAGATCTGTGTCAGAGCAGATCAGGTCACCTTACCCATGATGACTTGCATAGGGCTTCATTTTTTATTTTCCACTTAAATTGTTCCTGATTTCATGTCCACATAACATCACAGTGTTCAGACAACTAAATTAGTCAAAAATAATCAAGCAGAAAAAGAAGCAGGCCATATGTTTTAAAAGCAACCATTTCAAAATACAAAATGACAGAATATAGTAGTCTTCTGCAAATACAGTGGGACTCAAAATACTAATCAGGGAATTGTCCTTAATAGTTAACCTGAGACATCTGAAACCTCTATCCTTTTCCACCTTTACGTGATGTTTTTAAAGATAAGCAATCTTACTGCTTGTGCCCATTTTATTTTTTTCCTATTAAAAGTCTCAATCATTTAATAAACGTTATTTTCAGTTAAACTGGGCTAAACATGGCTGTTAACTTTTAATCTTTTAAAAGGAGAAAGAATTCATCCATTTCTAAATTGCACCTCAGCCATAAAAGACAAATCACATGGCCCACAGAAATTATACTTGGAACAGTGCAGGATATGCCTGCAATCAAACAGGCTAAGGACCTAACAGATAATTGGGTAATCAGAAGCAAACCTGAAGAGCCACCATCAGCTCACAACCTTCAGACCATCTTCAATCTAAGCATTTTTTAAAAAGTATCACCTCAGTCTTTCTAGATACCATCTTTATGGTATAGCCTTTTCTATCTAACCACACAGTTAAACCTCTCACCTATCCAAGCTCTTGTCTAACTGTGCTAGATTAATTTTTAAACTGAACTTAGAAATGGCAATCTGCTGATGGTCTCCTTCTAAAGTTATTCAGATTTGAGATTACTGTACAGAATCTGCTGCATTTTCGTACCACTTCTAGTGCAGATCCACTGACTGAGAAAAGCTCTTTTGTGTCTGTTGACATGAATAATCCCCAGCATTTTTAATACAGGCTGCCTTTGCCAGTTGGCTGACACTTGTGCTATGCCATGAATAAAAGCTATTTGATGACATTTGAGAAATGGATGTGAGACACTTGTTATTGTATTTCCTTTGCTCTGTGGGAGCTAGTCCCTATTATTTGTCATGTGCAGGAATGTAAAGATGTTAAAGGCAACTTGAATGCAGCCACTGATGATGTGCTGGTGCAAAACAATGTAGAAGTGAGACCCTAAACCTCTTCTAATAGACTGCTCCTTATGTCACTCATATGTCTTTGCCACCTATAGGAAGTTTCAGTCACTCTAAGTTTAAATAACACTAAATTTTATGCATTTTCCTAGTTGGAGCATTCAAAGTGTGCCTTCACAGCAACAGAAAAGATTCCTCTTATTAGCTAGCTAGAGAAAGTTTTCTGTGTGTCATGTAAGCAATGGGATTAATAATGCATGGTTACTTACCAACAACTGCTGTTCTTCAAAAGACCCTTGTGTGTTTGTATCCTTGTGGGGTGTGCACTGTAGGAGAACCACAAATTCCTGGTGTGAAGGACATGCACTCCAGGAAAACCACATGGGACAGCAGTTCAGATGACTCTGCATGAGGGCATGTGGTGTGTTAGTGCCAGCAAAGAGGAAAAAGAGATTTAAGGTAGAGTTGACAGAACAAGAAGAAAAGTGTTTGGTGAACAGAAAATGGGAGATGGATTGAGGTGTCTGAGGAGTATGAAGAAAAAAAGCAAGATTGAACCACCCAAGAACAAGATAAAATGAGCAGAAAGAGATGACTAGGAGAAGAAGAGAAGTGGGAAGAATGAGATTAAAGGCAAAGTAACTTACAGAGGACATTGAAGGGAAAGATAGGGAGATTTACATGGAGACTGAGAGAGACATGAAATCAGTGGGATCTGAGAGATGGGCTGGTGTGTCACAGCTGGGGGATTTTTAGCAGGAGACTTTTGAGCAAACAGGAAGAAAGAAGAGAGGATGGGAAGGACAGACTGCAGCAGCATAGGCATCTACTGCATGGATAAGAGTCTTTTGAAGATGGACAGTAAGGGAAAGGTAGATTTAAAAAAGATTTAGTACATCCCCATACTTAGGAGACAAAGCTTACAGATAACCCATTAAAGCCCTTTTATTACCAGAATATCCCAACAGACATCATAAAGTTTAAAGGCCTGTCAGAAAGAGACAGCACGTGCTATACACAGCAGGCAAAAGTCCTAAAAAATATGGTCAGTGGCCTGCAAAAAAATCAAGGGCTGATGTCCTCAAACAGAGCATTCACTTGATTCCATTTCAAGGTGATCCTTGCCCTAGGTTTTGCCCTCACTGATAAGTGACATTAAGCAGATTTACAGGTTAGTCAAAGTTTTCTCTCCACACAAGTGCTTACTAGAGTTTTCTCTGCAAACCTGAGCTAGCTGGGAGAAGTACTGCCCTCTCCCCTGATTTCAGACCAGAGCTGAAGTTGACAAAATGCACCTGCCATAATGACTCACCAGTAACAACCCTGCACCTTCAATATAAAGTTTCAAGCACCTGATATTAGTGTGACATTGCACTGCTATCTCTGTCTGCAGGCCTGGAGCTCTGCAGATCTCTGAGCTCTTACAGGCACCCAAGGAGAGATGAGGTGACCATGCTTCCTAGCTGTCTCTGGGGAAGGAAGCCCTGTGCTCTCCAGCAAAATGGCCAAGACAAGAAACTTCACAAAACCTGCTGAAGCTGCATGAGAAAAATCAGAAGCTGGAGAGAATTATTTTCTGCCACAAAGAGTGAAGAAATGGTGTGCATACACAGATAGTGTCCTGGGGGTTCTAAAGCAAGACATGGTGACATAATGATGGAATAATTTCCAGATGTTCTGTCAAGCAGAAGATGCTTTGGGAAGCTCTTTTAGTCAGATCAGCTTTTGGGATGTGTGACTAACAGCAATAGGCCATAATAATGATCTTTCAAATCTCACTTCAAGCATAGTTTTCTCCTGATTATCATTAGAGCACATTTCTTTCACGATGTATCTTGGTTGTATCAGAAGCCAGCTCTAGGCAAAGATGTTAAAAACAGCATAGCATTTTGCTCTTGCAAGGGAAAAGTCTCACAATTAGGCCATCTGCTACTTTGTACACCAGTGACAGCTTGGCCTCCTATTTGCAGATAGAACCAGGGCTGGCAATTAAATAGCAGCCCTTCCTCCCACCCTCCTCCAACCTCAACAGCTCTACCCCTGATAGATGCAGATAGGGTGATGCTTCTCTCCTGCATCACCCACCAAGGATTTCCTTCTTCCTGAAAATGGATGAGCTGCCATGCTCCTCTGCCAGATGCCTCCCTGCAACTGGTGTCTGCCACTCTCATTTTGCCCTGGCTTTGCCTCCCTTGAGCCACAGAAAGGTGGGGTGGGCTGATGCTGATATTGCTGAGGATAAAGCTGAAGCTCCTTGATGGCAGGATACTTATTCTCAGGTCATGGCATGTCAGAAGGGAACTGCCTCTGCACCTGGTGTGAATGCTTTCCTGTAGCTTGAGCCTCCTCAAGTCAAATCTTCAGTTTCAAAGTAGACTAAGAAAATAACTGAGGCCACACCAATTTCAGCCTTCTTGCAGACAGGAAGTGAGAGACTCATTGTTCTCTGTCTCTACAAATAACTGCACCCCAGCATAGAGGAATCCACCCCACCCCACCCCATAATGCAGTGGTCAGCTGTGGTGGTACAAAGCTCAGGCACCTTTGCACTTCCGTCAAACACAGCTTCTCCCAGAGCCTGAGCAACCCAAAATCCACATCCTTGCAGTACATCACAGTCTCCTGAGCAAAGAGCCCATTAACGTTTTCTCCTATGAGCTCCATGCACAGCACTGGCACCCTGGCATGGAGATTGAAGCTGCTGTGTTCTCCCCTTCCATTGCCAGCCTGTGCCCTCACTCGTGCTGCACTCATCAGGAATCCTCTCATCCTCCACCCTTCTGCAGAAGACAGCTCTTTTCAGTGGGCTGCTGGCAGATAATCTGCCTGACTCATAATGGCTTGCTTTCTTTTAAGGAAGATGGATGTCTCTGAAGTTGGTGGTTTCTGTGTCTCTCAAATTCATCATCCTGTGATTGCTGCAGTATCAGCAGCTGAATTCCTACAGCACAGCAGCTGGATGCAACAGCACACAGATAAACACAGTGCACATGCTTTGTAAGGCACAGAGACTCAACGCTGTGCTCCTGATCAGATCCAATGCTTTGCATTCTTTCAGCACATCACACGTTGGTGTATTTTCAGCAGGACCTAAAAACCCAGACACAAAAAGGCAGACCTGGGGCTTAACTTCTCACTTACTTTTCCTCTGACAGTTTTGTACAAAGCTAAATATTCATGTAATTAGCACGTGTTTCTTTAAGGGAGCTTGTTCTCTTAGTGCTAATCCGGGCTGAATGGCCAAGCACACGGAATTCTCCTTGTGGTGCTGGATGAATTCACCTATGGGGCAGCTGATCAATGCAAGGGTCCCAGCACTATCCCAGTGAAGAAACGAGATTTCATCGTTTCAGTTTGATGAGCTACATTTCCCCTTGCTAAGCTTTCTGGCTTGGGCAGACATTTGAAACGGGAGGTGCTCTGGGTCGATGGAGATGATGTTTGTCATGGAGAAGAGGATGCGCGTTCCTGCTGCCAGGCAACCGGCGCTGCAGTGCCCGTGCCAATGGCTGTGAACACCTCTGCAGAGGCAGGTCTACAGAAGGAACGGCCAACCCGGGGCTGCTGGGGGGGCCCATCACCCCACGGAGCCAGGGGTGCCACAGCTGCTCCCCCAGGGACCCTCACAGAGGCAAAGTGGGAGATGGTGCAGTGCCCCCTTCCCTGCCTACCTGAGGGTCTCTGTCCAAGGACTGGGCAGGGTGCTCAGGGAGACCAGTACCCCCTGCACCAAAGGAGACTTTCTGCCCTGCTTCCAGCTCTGGTTTCAGTCAGTGCTGCTCAGCGGGATGTGCCCTTGCAGTGCAGACCCAGGGGAGAGGATTCTGTTTGCAAGGTGATGCTGTGGGGCCTGGTAGGGTGTCTGCAGAGCCCTTTGCCCTCCCCCAGCACTTATCTTCAACTGCTTGGGGGGTTCCATTCACCCATTCTGCAGCCAGCTCTCTCTCCTGCCTATTCACCCCTCTCCATCCAGTGGCACAGCCTCACTACAGGACTGGCACAACCCTGGGTAGCTCCATAACTCACCGAATTTTCAGTGTAAAACTGAAGAACTGAAGAAACAAGCCCCTTCTCATCATCCTCTCTGTTGCATCTTCAGTCACCCTGGCAGGGGTAAAAGGAGGGGAAAGAAGAGGAATTCCAGACTGGTATTGATACCAGCATGGGGAGGCAGTGCTGCTGCTGTTCTGGCTGATGAGCTCTGGAGGGAAGTCCCATACTCTACTCTTAGCCTGGGTCATGAAATTCTTTCCACAAACCCTGCTGCAATTTGTCAAACACAGCTTGTCAACTGAAGATACAGTAGATTTTACTCATGACAGATATGCATGAACAGAAACACACACAAATATATGGATGAAAAGCTCATTCGGTAGGATTGGGCAAAATTACCAGAGTATGTGGAAAACAATAGTGCCATCCACTGAAAGGATGCCCTTTCTTTGCTCATTTTGATAAGTCATTTTGATTTTTTCCAGCTTCTCACTCCAAGAATATTATTGTGGAGACAACATGGAGATCTATGTACTAATTGTTTCAAGAAGTTTTCATGTAGTGATAGTTAGGCCTCTAAGATCTAACATTCCCTGGGGAAATTTTTATCAGATTTTCATTTAGTTTTTATTTTACAGTTTAGGGGCAGATACCTGGAATGCTGAGGAACACATCTTGTTCCATCATGCTTGGTCCTTCAAGGCCAGGCTTTGGCCACAATTCCAGTGGGAAAGACATAACTTACTCAGAGCCATGCAGATGACACATAGACTTGCCATTTCACACAGCTTAAACACTAGAAACAGCAATATGAGGTGAGAGAAGGTGGAGAAAAAGGCAAGATCAGATCGTTTATTGTGCCCCCCCATTGTAGATACAGATATATCTTAATGGATTAAGTGTTATCTGCAGAAATTTGAAGCCAGGGGATAGGAATTGTGTCCCTTCAGGATCCCAGGAGCAATTTACTTGCAGAGTGGGAACTAGACCCTGGGTGCGGTGAGCAACAGTGCAACACCACTAGCTGTTCAGGGACTGCAAAAGACCATTCAGAAGCTGCATTTGGTCCTGAAGCTTCTTCACCTTTTTCCCTCAATTCCTCACGTGTGCTGGTAGCGAGGCAGGTGCCATGGCTCCCCAATGCAGATGGCAGGAGATGGAGCGCTGCCCCCTCCAGTGCTGGTGGGTGCAGGCAACCAAGCCTCTGCTGGCCTGAGCAGCCCAGACTGGGAAGCAGACTCTGATACAGTCATGCGCAATGCTGCCTGATGATTCACTCCAACTTGCTTTTTCATTCCCTTGGGAACACAGAAGGGAGCCAGGGACCAGATCAGCACCCTGCAGACACAGTTTCCCCATGTATAAGCTTACCCTTCCTAGCGATCCTATGTTCTTACTTAAGGGGAGTATGAACAGAACCTGTCAGAATAAACACCAGTAAGGATTATCGTTGTGCAGTATGAAGCAAGGATTTAGCCTACCACCTCCAACTTTCATCAGTCCTAATAAGAGGTGAGGGGTGAGCTTGAGGGCTGTCCTGCAAACTGGGCAAGGTGGTGATGTACAGTGCTACTGGTAGGCCACTGGGCCAGCCTGGAAACAATTTCTTTAGCAGAGTGAAAATTCCTGATTTTGACAGCCAGCATGCTGGTTTGGTATGCATAATTTGCTGTGATCATGCTATAAATCAAGATGAGACTGCTAAGATTATGTATGACCTCATTTGATAGATTATCTAATAAGAAATTTGCTAATGCAGTTTATCACTTAAAAAGCCATACAACTGCTAAGGATGAGTACTTTACTGCAGCACATTTAAACCTAATTGTCAGAAGATAAAAGCAAGCAGATTTCAGAGGTGAGTTAGAAGAGCATCCTTACGAGGATGATGTCTTCACTAAGTCAGTGGTGCAATGCAGCAAGCAGGGTGGAAAGGAGTCTCCTCTGGATAAAGGTACAGAAAGCTGCTAGACAAGGCTGCGCTGTGTGAGAATACTGCATGGACTCACTGATCAGTAGCACCTTTATAAATGTAAAAAGCTGTATCCTAACTGGCATTCTTGCTTTTATTGTTTAATCTAGTGTTATTTTTTAATTTTTCTGACATTTCAGTTCTGTTTCACTGTCTTGTAAGCATATCTAAAAATCCCTGATATCTGCAAAGAAACTGCCAGCCTAGACCTCTTGCTCTAACTTGCTATTCTGGTTATGTTGCCTGTCAGAATAAAAAGAGTAATTGTTTTGCTGCTATATGTTACCATCAAATATTTTTGTTCTTCCAGTCCTGTGACTCATTTAAAAAGACTGAACTTCACTTTGATGTACACAAACAGAACTAGAAAGCAGTTCGAGCCAATGAAATAAATACTTGTTTTGCAGGTTTGTTAATCACTTATCCTGTTCTGATCCCAAATTTATGATTAATATTATTAAAATATAAATGTTGTTTTCTTTACTGTTTTTCTAAAGCTCATTCTGGGGTCTAAATGCTGTATACTATAGTATATACTGCCTGGATATATGATACTGTTCAAAGCCTCTGAGATAAACATTAAACCTCCTCACAACTCTGTATCTGTGTGTGTGTGTGTGTGTGTGTGTGTCTGTGTGTGTCTGTGTGTGTGGAGAGGGAGGTGTTAGAGAAGTGATGATTTTGAACTCCATTTTAGGATTCAGAAAAATGAGGTGGAAACATGAAAGATCTTACAAAGGCCACACAGAAAATCATTATCAGAACCAAGGCTAAATCTCTGATTTCCCTGATCCCCATCTCATCTCTTGACTGCCCAGAGCAAAACTTGCAAATATCCCCTTTATATGCCCCTGCACCTTGAGCAATCCAGTCTCATTTGTACCCTGCCCAAAAGGGGGAGTTTGTTCTTCTCTAGGGAAAATGATGCATTATGGCAGAAATGGGGAAATCGGATGTTGCTGTACAGAAAATGTGACCACTGGCATAAGAAGGCAGGAGGTAATTCTACTGAGCACTTCTAAGTCACAACAGTAGGTGATAACTCCACATTGACTTAGGTGTGTGACTAATGATTTCAGATTGTAGAGAAGCTACTGGTGTCACAAGAAAAGCAAAGATACTTGTAAAACACTGCAAATTCCAGGGCCTGGGACTGAGGAGCTGAAGAAAGATGTTTTGATAGAGGCATAAATTAGAGTCAGGCAGGGGAATGCCCAAGACTTTTGCATAGGAGGCCCACCTAGATATTATGATGCCTGTATTGATAATGTAGTGCCAGTTGAGTAGCTGGAACTGTTCCTGAGAGACCTGAAGACTGCATTTCTGCGTGAACACACAAAGCAGTGTGTATACATCTGACTGGAGGGATTTATTTACAGAAGAGAAAAACACAAAATAATGGCAATATCATCTGCTCATTAAATAGCCCAGCTCTAAAGGGGCAAAGCCACTTGAGGGGTAATGGCATAGTTCACCATTTGTGCCTTTCCCCACTGATATTAATTGATACAAGCTAAGCTAGTGAATTTTACATTGAAGACACATCTCTACAAGAAGCTGGACTCGGGGCATCTGCTCACTCACCCTAGACTGTCAAATAACTCCCTGGTTATAATTTTTGGTCACAGTTGATACACCTTAGGACAGAAGTTTCATCATAAAGCTTTCATTAGTCATTCCTTAAGCCATCCTGTTTCATGAGCTCTTACCCTTACCAAGATAAAATCTAGCTATCAGTAACAATTCTCAGAGACCTACCAGTCAGTGATTCTGTGATACAACCTGTAGCAGCCAGGCAGAATTACTCCTCCGTATTTCATCTCCTGACAGTCATCAGCAAGGCAAAGTAAAAACAGCTGCTCTGAGCCCACATTATTGCAGTGAGATTCCAAGGGAGAGATGCTGAACCTCATTTAAAACCAAGTGAGAACCAAGAGAAAAAATAAAAGTCCTAAGCCTGTATCCTTGAAGCTGAATGCTCTTTTTCCTCAATACACATCTATTCAAAATAAATGCTTTCTCATGTCTGCTGGGCAGTAAACCTTGCCATGTAGCTGCATACACTGTACTTGGCCATATGGTTAGCAATGCACCATGACAAGATACATATCATAAAAATAGTACCAGTAGAAATATTCTAAATACCACTTATGGGCCAAAAATACCCTCTAGAAGAAACAGACCATGAAAGTACATATTGAGGTTGCTATCTGGTCCAACAGGCAAATGCTCCTGCTGTGCAAATCAAATGGTGGATTTTTTTATTTGAAAACATTAGGTAAATATTCCTAGAAGGACAGATCTTAAATGCATGGCAGGGACTACAGCATGCATCCACTGATCAGTGGTTAAAGATTGCCCAGAAAAGTCCAGGGGATGTGGGAAGAGAGCAAGGTTACAGATGTGGTCATACCTGAGGACTAGGATACATTCCTTCAAAGGGTGTAAATCCCACCCTACCACAAATTCTCTTAGATCATATGGGAGATCTTTAGCTGAGTCACCAGAGAAGAGCAATATAGAAATTTCCAAAGCTGGAAGTAGCAGTTTTACAGACATCCTATTATGTACAACTTACATAATCTGAATACTTAGCTGCTTAGATAATATAGTGATAGAACTTTATAGAATTAAAAAAGAAAAAGCTTCTTACAGATTATAATATAGCAAGAATGGAATTAAAGTGCTCAAAAAATCAGTAAAACAAGTGCTGTTTTCCTTCTGGCTATACTGAACATTTCCAAGAGGGACTTAATACAACAAAGACAATGCCTCAACTCCTATAGCCATGACATCATTTACACTGAACTGTGACTTCTCAAAGCATTATTTTGCTTTTGGAAACAGAAACTTCTGGTGACTTAGACACAGAAGGCAAAGATCAGGGTTCAAACAGTAGTCTTAAGAGGATGGTATTTTTCTGTTGAACTGTAAAACTTGCACTAACTTCAATGTGGATTCCTACTCTCATCTGTATGCAACACCTAATGTCTTGCAAAAGATGAGCAACTCTTATCTCCATGTACATAAAGTTAAACACAAAAGTCTTGCACAAGTGGCTGCAGCAAAGAACTGTAACTAATGTGGAAGAGTAACAATGCAAGCATGTTATACCTAGAAATATTTCCTCTTTGATCACAAATTTTGGGGTTTATGTATGTTACATAAAATACTAAGGACTTAGATCCTCCACTGGTTTAAGTCGTAGCTCTATATCAAAGCACATGGAATTATGTTGATTAGTATAAGATGATCACATATTTGTAAAACATATTTTGGCCTAGATAGCTGATAGAATAGAGTAAGGGAGGAGAAGGAAATAAATCCTTTTAGAAGGTAATAATCACATACTTCAGTAAGGTGAGCAAGAAAGAAGTATGTCCAATCCAGTGAGAAATGTACCCTTTTCTCGTATGTACAAGCCATGTTGTCTCTAATGAAGTAACAACACCTTGTGCTGCAGAAAGAGGATGGACACACAAATGAACAATACAAGGGGGGCTTACTTCAAAAGTGTTTCCTCTGCACTGCTTCTGCTACCTTCCTCTGCTTGCTTTTCCAAAGCAACACCTTTCTGATGGTTCAGCTTCTGTGCAGGTTATTCAAGGACTCTTTTTCAAGTACCAATACATTTGCAGGGATAAGGTTTATATGAAAGGCAGGCTATGCAAATGAACATACAAGAAACTTATGCAGTTCCACATTTTTTCCACTCCAAAGATTGTTCTTCCATCACCTGACACTTTGGTGCAAAATACATCAGCAGGCTAGAAGCTGGTATGTAAACTTCACATGCCAATCCATAGCTGAAGAATTTCCATGACAGGAGAAGCCCATATTCATGTGAGGGTGGAAAACTTGGTTTACCAATAGTTGGGCCATTTGCTTTGGAATAATTTGATCACTTTTGGCATTAGACCAATTAATAGTTTATGTGGTACAACTGTGCTTGCTGAAGCATAGGATTCCAGCTTCCATGACTAAACACAGGACTGAAAAGGGCAAGGAATGATAACAAAGGAATTCAAGTTATCTACTACCAGAAAGCAAACCTGATTTCCAACCAAACACCTGCCATTAAAAAATGGTTTCCCACAAATTCCTCATTTCCTTTGTGGAGTCTCATATCTAAGGTTAGCCAGGGATTAGACATAAGTTGCCAAACCATTTTGCTTATTGACAATAAAAATGTGCTTGTTCTTTGCAGCAATAGTAAAAAAAAAAGTTAAAGGTGCAGCTGTAGTGCTGCTCTTCAATCATTTTGAAGCTGTTCTTCAGGATGTTGTATTACTTTTTGTCTCTGTTTATTTCCAAGTGCTATTGCTTGGCAGGCAAAACTCTTGGACTGTGTTATGTATCAATAATCCTTCTAGCATCTTGGTTTTCAGAGCATTATTAATACTCAAGAACACAGGAACATATCTAAAATAATATCCCACTGTACTCTTCACTGGATCCTATGCATCAACTACTGCACTAGGATAAAGAAATGCTTGGTATTCCACAACTGTATGGAAAACAGAAGGGAGAGCTCACAGTGAAATGCCAGGAGCTCGCTTGCTGTAAACAGAATGGAAGATAAATCAAAGCTGTTCTTTGATCCCAGCAGACTGGGCCATGTTCTGTTTAACTCCACATCAACAGCCAACAGCCCCTTTGCTCCCACAGTCACCAGGCTTAAGGCATTATTGAGCCTCCCTGTCCCACAGAGTGCCTGGGTTGGTGCAGCATTAAACAGGCTAGGATGAATCTGTTCAGGCCAAATAGGGGCAGGGTCCTTGCTCTGTCCCCAGGAGAAGCACAGGAAGCCTCTCATGGAGGAGCAGCTGGCTCTGCTGCTCAGTGCTTCCCGTGACCCAGGTGCCTCAACTCCAACACTGATCATGTTTCCCTCTCTGCTGCTCCCAGAGGACTTAAAGGTGTTCCCTCAGATGCTATAATTTAGACCTTCCAGGCATCAGTCCTGTTTACCTATGTGAGGACAACAGAGTATTTAAAGCTGAAATAGCCAAAGAATAGATTCAAGAATCTATGATAAAAGATACAATTTCATGCACTGTGGAGCATCCATCAAGGAAATGCACAGAGCTAGTACCACAAAATAATTACATGTGCACAGTCCATTGTAAACACAGCTTTTATGTGCATCAGCACAGTTAGGGACAGTGTTTAAAAATATAATTATGTAATGCATTTTATGTAGTCCATGAGCCATTCAAATTATACCATCGGTTCAGCAATATTGCATGCAGCAGGTCTGTATCTATTGGTCTGAGCAAAGAAATATTTTCCAGGAGCATTATTTTTTTTTTTCCTGCCACAAAATAGATTTGTCTCCAATGCCTATGGGGGATTTGTGTCTCTGTCATTGGCCACTTTCTCTCCTACTTTCACCAATGAAGGAGGAAGAAATGGGGAGTTATTTTTGGCCTTGCAGCAGACTCCAGCATCTAAATCAGTTACTTCTGAAACCACTTGGGGTGGTGCCAGTTCTGTTTTAATGGCTTTAGAGGGAAAGAATTTATGATGTCTGACTGTTAGTGAAAGGAAACAAAGTGGCTGCTGTGAGGTGGAAGAGCAAGGCAAGGTTAAGGCTCTGTGTAAGGAACTAGGGTCCAGCCTTCAGTACTAGATGTGCAGTAAAGGGTGAGCTGTGGCTGGGGCAGCACAGAGGAGGCTATTGCCAAGCCACAGAGGCTTCTGTGAGCAGGAGATCTCTATTAAAATGCATAGAAAAAGCAAGCTTACAGCTACACTAACTGCTGACACCCTCATACCCTCTTTCCCACTGCCAGCCCCCCATTTATTTTATCCTTGCAAAACTTAAAGTGTATGACCTGCAAAACATGTAGAGGAAGCTTTGTTTTCCTTCCTGTTCAATCTGCAATTGCAGCTCAGTTGAGGTGGTGCAATAATAAAATTTCTGATACAGATCTTCACTGTGCTGCTAAATGATAGGAGCTGCAGCATCCACAGATGTTTATCTGAGGCAAAAACTGAGGTGTGTAGATATTATTTAACGGTCATTTTAAGACCCTGAGGTTTCCACTCCTTTGCAGGCAGATTATATGTCTTGGCTAAATCCTACATGGAAAATGATGTTTGAGCTGTCAAAGTCTCTCTAGGAGACCGAGAAGATTGGTTTTTTTTCATTTAAAGAGACCATTAAAGAAATCTACCTAGTTTCATAACAGAAGATACACAGGTGGGAGTAGTGAGGTAGCTTCTTCAGCTAGCTAGGAGCTGCCTGGCACAGAAACAGGACTTGATCCTAATTTTGAAATACAGGATCTGATATCAGAAAAGAGATTTCTTTTTTTTCTGTTAGATGCTGGGTCATGTGTAGCATACAGAAAAGGAGAGTGGCGATCAAAATCCTGGTGTCTGCATTCCTGATTGTTTGCTGGCATCACTGAGAAGAAGAGATATAGGTCCTTGCATTCTCCCTTCCTATGAATGTTGTATTTCTCTTTGCTTAGTGGGATGGCATTGATCAGAAGATGGAAGATACCACAGCCAGAAGAGTCCATCACTGGCTACAGCATGGCACAGCAGACCCAAGTAGGAATGCTGCTGTTGAATCACACCCGGGTGATCAGCAATGCTCGACAGAATAGCTGTTTGTTTGAAAGACAGACACAGGCATCATCCAGCTACACTTTCAAAAGGAAGCAAATACAGCACTGTTTGAAAAATCTCAAAATTGCCATATGTTTGATTCCAGAGCTCCTAAGGTATTTAGATAGTTCCTTCCCCATGGAAATCTCTGTAAAATACATTTTGTAGAGGAAGCTCTTTGTGTTCTTTGTGGCAGATTGTGCAGATATGGACTAATACAGTGCATACCACCTCATTTCAGAGAAAGAGCAACTATCAATGCCTTGCCTCCCCTACACAGCCTACTGGAGTGTGTTGGTGACCATATTTCATGTCACATTACACAAGGAAGATAAGGTTTCCCATGAACAATTTAAATAAGCAAATATTCACACACACACACATATATTACATAGATACCAAACAGAATCTTTATACATTATTAGGGAAAGATTGACCTGGGGGAGGTCTAAGCAGTTAGATGGTTTCTGTAATTAAACTTGAGGAAAAGCAAACTTTTGCATTTTTAAAGTCATTCAATGTGATTTTTAAAGTATTTTTAAAGGATTTTTTTTTTCTGAGGAACTTTATCAACACAATTACTACTTTGCAGCACAAGATGTACAGTATAGTTAGTCAAAACGGAACTATTAGCTCCTACCACACACACAAACAGAAAGTATTAATATGCAGTACTTCAAAATTAATTTTCTGAGCAGAATTGGTCAGTGGCCAACTAAAAAGTCCTTCAGTCTGTAGTATAAATATCAAATGTAGGAATTTGATGGTATTTAAGATGTAAAATTTTATATTCTCATGGGACCTTGTAATTGTCCACTTGAATGTGCTTGATAATTTAGAGCAAGACATATTTAACACAACGCCTGCAGTAAGGTGGATTTTCAAATCCACATTATTGAGCAAACACGGTCACAAGGTTATATGTCTATGGCTTGTTTATGCACAAGATAATTCCTTTGTAAGTCTAGTCCAGAACATATGATACCAACAGGTGCAGACCAAATTCTTCTTTATATGTCTTGTCTAATCCAACTAGAGTGGTATGAGTATAAAATGAGTTGGAAAATTTAGTTTTGGACCCTAAAATGCTCGATTTACTACCTCCCAAAGGAAACATGTTAAGTAGAGTACTGTCAGCAGATAAGGCATGGGAAAGAGGCAGGAATGAACAGGCAATACAACTTCCTCAGGATCACATAACAGCTTTGTAGAGGAATTCACAGCAGAGCCCCTGACTTGTGTTCCAGATTGCTAATCACTCTCAGGTCCAAACTGCTTGCACTGTGCCTTTCCATAGAATATCACAACACTGCACTACCACAGAAGCAGCAGACATCAAGTTCACTGAACATTTATTAAACAGATCTGGTTTAAGGTTTTTAACAAAAAAGTTACTTCAAAGAGTATGCTCTATTCAAGTGCATTCAACAGAGCTTTATGGCTTAAAGCTAAAAGCAAATTTGATTACAAAAAACACTTCCAAATGGAATGTGGTTTATATGATCACAGGGAACTCTCAAAACATAAAATTAAATAATTTATGTCAATACCTTCTGGGTGAAGCCAAGCTATGAATTCAGAGGTAGAAATATGCAAGCAGAATGCTACTTCTACTTTTCTGAGAGAAAAGAGAATCCCAACACTGATATGAGCACAGAAAAAAAATAAAATAGTTAAAAGCAGAGAAAATCATTCAGATTGTGTGTGCAGACACTTATGAATATCCATAAAGAAGTTAGTGCTAACTATATTTATTAGCTAGCAGAATTACCTACATGTAACTGAAACTCTGATTCCTTGAAGCCAGTCACTCATTCTTAAAATATGGTACATATGTGAAACTTACCTCTTTCAAAAGAGACAACTGTCCTGGCACAGGAGAGTGAGTATTACTGCAGGGTAAACGGTGGGATTTGGTCACAGGTCTGAAGGAGTGTTGTAACGAGAACCATCAACCTCCTGCCCTTAAATTCCTTCAGTGCTCTTCCTTTAATCTTTTATACTAATGTTATTTATACAGTGCTTATTAAAAGTGGTTTCTAATTTCAGGTGCCTCACTAAAACCACCCAACTGCTAGAGGTTTGCACACCTCCATCTTACTCCTGGGGTTTCATTATCTCATTCAACGGAGATAATGAAAGCAATGATCAATACCTGGTCTCATCTCCTTCCCTATGACTGCAGTAACACATTCCCACTTTTTCAAACACCACTATGCAGCATAAATGGCTATTCAAGCTGTATTTCCTTAAAAATGTGGGAGTTGGGGAAACATTGGCTACTTGGGGACTTGCAAGTAAAATGTTTTTTAAATAAGAAGATACCAGCAGATTGATTTCATGAAGGAAAAACATGGAGCAAAATGCCATAGCCAGTCCAAATAGTTACAGCAAAGAAGAAATGTGAAACTGAAACCCAACTTGTTATCTGTATCTTGGCAGTGTGCAGTTGCAGGTAATAATTATCTTCACAGTCCAAATTCTCATGCACTTCCCAGTCCATGAAATGGAAATTTGAGAACACCATCATCCTGAGTGGCAGACAGAGCAGGTGGATGGCAGCTTTGAGCTACTTGGAAACTACAAAAGAGACTCAGCCTTTTGAACAAGTAGGTGGTCATCAGCCTCTTCCATGGTGACCCTCTAAAGTACTTCATAATGAAAATATTTTCTTTTACTCACAATGCACAACAGCAGAAGTGGTGATATGGCCTTATCAACAACCAGGACAACAAAACAACTTTTTAAAGTTGTTACTTAAGGACAAGGAGAAGGTGATAACCAGCATCTACCTACAGCACCATGTAAAAGCACTGTGAGTGTTTCTTCCCTCCCTTGGAAAAAAGTAGATAGATGTGGACAAAGGTTCACAGTTCTTACCCTCCATACTATCCTGAATTTTCTAGCATTCATGGCCACTGGTTTAGACCTAAAGCCAGTTTTGAGTATTCACTTACGTGGCACATGCAGGTGAGGAATTAGTCTGTTATAAAGGGAGAGAGTTAAAGGCAAGAATAGACCACTACAATCACCCTTTCTAATCTCCAATGTATTTAATTTCAATTCAGTAACCCCATAAAGAACCATATAACTATCTATTTAAGCAAATATCTGGCTAAAACGTCTTCTGAAAAGATATAAATTCTTGTCTTAAGAAGACAATGAACAATGACTCCTTAGGAGCTTTTTTTTTTAGTAATAAAAATAATTTCAAAATTAAGCCAAATTTCTAATTTGAATGTTGTCTACATGTTCCCTTGAGCCATTCAATAATTTTTTGGTAGTAACAGCCTACCATGAGTGTTGGGGAAGATGAAACAGGGAAACCTTATGAATATGATTGTTTGACAAAAGATTCTGAAGGTATGAAGCCTAGAATCAAAGTAGAAATGAAAGCTTGCTTTGAGTCCTAAGATGCTGAGTACTAGTTACTATATGACCAAAGAACAATAGCCTAGCTAGCTAAAGGAGAATCCCTGATGATGAAACAATGTCTTTCTGCAAATAGAGAATCCAAAGGTCAAGCAGCAAGGGAAGAATTTGTAAAGCTTTTAGAGTTTGAAATGCAACACTGTATGGTAAAGTAGTAATTCTTATAGGCTGTATGTAAATTCTTTAGTGGGTGTATCTCGTAGTGATTGGTTACTGGGACTTAGAACATTCACTATAGAAAGACATATATTGTATTTTAACAGGATCTTCGCTTTCTTGTTTTTCTCTCTCTCCCTCTCTTATTCTTTTGCTCTTACCCTCTTGGTTTTTCCCCCTCTTACCGCTCTCTTGTCCTCCCCCTCTCTTCTAAGCCTCCCTGGTTCTCCCCACTCTCTCTCATGCTCTCTTGTTTCTTCCTCCCTTACGCTCTTGGTTTTTCCCTGCTCTTACCCTCTGTTGCTCTTGTTTCTTCCCTCCCCCTCCTTAACCTCTCCTCTCCTGCTCTCCGCGTCCCGCTCTCTTTCTCCCTCCCAACCACGTGGACGCCGAGGCTGGTGGCGGACATGTGTCTCTCCCTCTCTTTACCCATGTAATGAACTGCTTATACCTGAACAGCTTAAACCTGGAGAAGTCTCTCACCATGAGCGAGTGTTTTGTACTTCAATACATGAGGGTTACTTTATACTGAGCAAGTCAGCTTGTAATCTTTCTGATGAAGCTTCTTTCCAGCTCTCCACTGAGGCTCTCTACTAAAGATTCCAGGCCTCAAATCTGTTTGTGGCTTTCTGTGAAATCTTTAATCAATACCTAGGCAACTAGAATATCTGTCACAAAATAAAGGATGTTGAGACAGAAAAGGGGCATACAAGGGGAAGGAGTGTGCACTTTAAACAGCAAATCTACAAATTACAAAATACAATGTAATTGTTCAGTTCTAGACTTCATCTGTATTACTCTGTTTGGTAAGTTCCAACCTTATCTTTAAATCTCCTAGACATACAAAAACAAAAAATTAGGGAAATAAATCATTGTGTCATGAATAAAATCTCTCAAGAAATCCACCCTGGTTAAAACACTGTGTTTAGTTATGTACAGTTAATGTTCTTACCTGTGAAAAACGGGATTCACTTAATAAATTATAAAAAGTTTAATATAAACAAAAAGACAATTAGGAGACAAAAGAAATAAAGCAAAGGGTTAAAGAGGCTGGGTGCCCTGGAGCATTGCCAGGAACACTCTTTTTATCCCCTCCTGCTGTGAGGGTTTAATGCATATTCAAACTTTTTCAAGAAGTATTTAGCATGTCCCCTCCCTGGTTCCGCCTATTTAGAACATGCTCTGTATGGTTTTTATTTTCGCTGATTATCATTATTTTTTTGCTGATCATCATTATTTTTGAGTTTGGTTTCCTTTCTTCTACAAATGGTCAGTGTTGATAAAAGTCTAGGCCTCTCATCCTTCCTTTGAGGGCAGCTGGGCTTCATATCTTTCCCCCACTGCCAACGGCCTGGTCCTGGCTGCTGATAACAGCTTGGTCCTCCCATTGTCTTGCCTGTTGGAGTTTCCTTGCTTTGTACTAGAAATTCCTTTAAGCGTAAAACTTGTTAGCAAGAGGAAAAGTACATACATAGCCAAAAAGTATTTAACATATAA